TTCAACTGTTTTCTTCTTGTTTCTGATAGAATGTCTTTCGGTCGAAAGAATTGATCAATACATGAGTTAACAGGTGGTTTGTTACAAGTAAGATGTATCGAAAGTCAAGAATTTTTCGGTTTTAGTCGGTCTTAACGGGTGTCCCATAAAGAATGGGACTTTTTTGTCTTCGCTATAACTCCGTCACTTTTTATTCGATCGGACGAAATTTTTTTAAAAGATTCACCATTCAATTCTCTACAAGAGTATGTCAAAACTTTTGTTGTAAAACATAAAGAAGAAAAATTATATAAAGAATACTGAGAAGCTCCAGTATGTCCAACTTTCTAATGTGGTTTTTCTTGGTTTGCCTTTTTTTCTATCTTTCGCAAATACGATAACACTACAGAGTAAGTTTTTCAAGTACAACACAGTGCGTTTCAACCAAGTTTTATGAGGCAAACACTAGTTTATTAAAACTGAGCCGAAATGACATAAAACTTTGCTTATTTTACGCATTACATCTGAATGAAGGACTATATTCAAACTCTAAAGTTTTAATCTATTGCGCCATCCATTTCTCTTCAAATTAAAACACAAGCCAAGCTGGAAAGATTAATTGTTGATCGACTCATGCAAATTTTCTGAGAACCCCAAAATCGCTCCGTATGTGCAACTTTTTCTTATTAATAACAATAATTATTCACAAAAGGTAAGATAATAAACTTCATCCATAAAAAAACAATGTGTCGGCCAGATATAGCCAAAAGAATTGCAATATATATATATAGCTTTGGCCATCTCCCTCTTTTTCACTGACGTTCGAATCAAGTCAAAATATATGTATGCATAGCTATCATTTTTTCTGAAAAAATCTAAGTCATACGCGGAAATCGTCACTCTAAGCATAATAAAATGATGTCTTTTTGCCATCCGTTGAACATTCTTCTACTATTTTTCGAATTTTTATTTCATAAGAATCTCTGAAAATCAACATAAATTTTCTTTTCGTTAGTACAGTAAAGCACTTTTAAAAATCGCTAACCGCGCACACGCTGTTGCAAACGATAAGATGCTTCAGGTCAACGATATTGACAGTTTTACCACATGCCAATGAAAAAATTTTGTCGCTCAAGCTGTCGAAGAAGAGTCGAATGTTGTTTAATAAATCTAGATTAAGTTGTACTTTCGTCACATATGATGAAAGTGCGTTTTTCAAAAAAAAGCATAGTGACGTAAGTTCGTGTGAATTTCGGAGTGCTTTTTGTGGCTGTGACGAAAATACCGGTGTTTTTAACGGTTCCTGCTTAACTTTCATCACATGTAAATACCGCTATAAATACAGAATAGAATCAAGTGTTGTGAGATTATTATGTGATCGGTGATCTGTAACCACGTGCTTAGGAAGTACTGCTTTTAACGTTCTTTAAATGTGACCAAAGTTCACCACTACTGTGACGAAAATTCGCCTCATGCAACGAAATTTTTGAAGTGTGTGACAAAAATTCACACTTTGGTGACGACAGTTCCCGAGGAGTACCTCCACCCAAGGAACTTTCGTCAAAGTGCGTTCGTCGTAATGACGAGAGTGTGGTGTGACGAAAGTGCCATAATCCCAACATTTTCCCATTACGCTGCATTCAATTTTCAAAGACTCTCTACCAGTCAAAATCAGGAACATTGACAGAAAAACAATAAAAAAGAGCGACAAGTAATAATTTCTTCTAACTAAATACAAAAAGCTTATTACAGATAAAAGAAATGTATGGTTCTAATGCGGAAGTCAATGTGTGAAAAGATTCATGAAAACGAAAGTGGGAAAAAGAAGGCCCAGAGAAAAGTGATGGAAGTAATAAGGATGAATTGATATAAAAAGAAGATTTATGAAAAATTATCATATTATTATCATCGTCCTATTATTATCATTGTCGAAATTATCCCTAAAATTATCATCGTCCAACATCAATAATTTGAATATAACGTAAAATGAATGTGAAAATATTACGGAAATATTCTGATAAATTCGGACAAATACATCTTACAGTCATCAATCAATCAATCAATTTTATTTTAGTCCATGATGTTAATAAAATGACATGGTAATGACAAAAGTTCAACAAAGAACTTGTCTAGGTCATCCTTAGTAAAAAAAAGAGATAGAAAACAAAAAAGGTTTGAACAATAGAAAAAATGGCACAGTAAACAGAATATGGCTTAGTATGTACTATCAACTACTCTAAGAAACAAGATGTTTCTTTAATGCACGTTTAAAAGCTTGAGCACTAAAGGCAGCAATTACTTCTCTTGGTAATTGATTCTATTCTTTTATAGTTTTTTTTGGTAAAAATGAAGATCTAGTAGTTTTATGCTTTAACAAGGGAATCTCCCACAGACATCGATTAGAGGTTCGCAAAGAAGTTCTGGTTGTAAGAGACTGTACTAACGAAAAGCGTGAAAGTGAACTGCGTCCTGTAATAATTTTGTGAAAGAAGATTAACCTGAAAAATTTTCTTCTTTGAGCAAGATCTGGTAGTTTTAAGTTCGTGATCAAAGAGGAACTGTCGGATCTATAGTCATTCGATACCATACGCGCAGCGAGTTTATGAGTTGATGTTAGTAAATCGAGATGCGTTTTGAAATCATTGTCAAATACTATACAACAATAATCCATTACTGGCAAAATACAGGTTTTATAAATACGCAGTGGAATAAAAGTAGAAGCAGATCCGAATATTCGATTCATAGGGCCTAACATTTGTCTGTCCCTTCTAGCTGTATTTTCAAGATGAAATTTCCATGTGAGATCTGATGAAAGATAAACTCCTAGCAATTTTATATTTTTTGAATTAAACTATAAAACATTTCATTTTTTTTCTGATTGTAAGGCGCACAAAATTCGAAGTTTAAGCACTATTTTATTTTGGGCTATAGTATACATGATTCGATAGAGGTGGACGAGCTGATCAATAATATTCAGGCTTCAATTTAAAAAGACTGAATTTTGAAGAAGACATTTTCATAATATTTGAGGCGACGAGAATTATTCTTATATTTTATCGTTTTTCTCTTTATAAAAAACAATAAACAGGCTTACATAGGCCATAGTATCGGTTCGATCAGTACTTTATGTATAAAACCTTCTATAGTGAACGAATCTTAATAATTATTTTTTAATTTTATTTTTTTATCACTTTTTTTTTACACTTCAGTTCTTTTATTCATGTAGAAAATGAGACAACAAGAAATGCTATGTTTCCAGTGATATCATTCGACTGCAAATTTTTTCTTGTTAAATAGTACAGTTTAATACTGTGAAATAATTTTTAGTTAAAATTGTGACCTTGTAGAGTGCCTACTTTATATTTAACTTAATTAATTTTTTGAAATGACATTTTTATACACAACACTTCTAATTTAAACTCTTCCTTCTAGATATTCAAAACACTTTTCTAACTATCGTGAAGCAAAAAATTCAAATACGAAGTGTCTGAAAATTTAGACCTCCATTTTGGACTAGACTAATTAGAGCATTAGATTCGAGGTTGTTCTGCACTCTCATCGAAACTTAAACTATTTAAATCTCTTTATTTCAACATTTTAACTGTACACTGTATCGAAACCTTTACATTACATAATACGCCTTTTTACTGACTTCTTTCCTTTCGCACAAATCACTTGTGTAACAATTGTCACATATTGTCACATATTCAGAAAAGAGAAATGAAAGAAACGAATACTTGGTACTAATGTACAGTGCTGATAGTTGTAAGTTTTAACAGCTCGATATTTTCCCTTCCATTGACAAGCTTCTAACATGGTCATTCACATTGTTACTACTTATTAACTATAGTTCTGGTCCGAAGACTAGTATAACTTAAAGTTGTTGCCGCTCAAGTAAATTGCTTGAGCTGTCCATATACACTCACTAACAATGCACTTGCACGTTCCGAAAAGTCACGACAGCCAAGTAGACACTGTTAAAGTAGAAACTGTTTTGTACATCACAACTTAGGGAGTGTACTATTGAACGGATGATCCGAAGTACTAACGATGTAAGCCATAAATAACTTGTTCAAGGTTATTACACGAATGAACAGTGCTGCGGTTCGAGCACAGAACCTTTCAAGTATGTGAGGAGCAACATAATTACCAATCTATGATGTCAAAAAGGAAAATGTTATGTGCATGTTTGTCGTTTTTTATAGTTTTTCTAAACCACAAATATTTAAACAATCATCCTAGTGGACGCATAAGGCAAAGATTTTAAATCTATATGACTAGTAAAGATTAAATTTGGCGAATCGGCTATACATACATCAGTCAAGTGATCAGTGAGACCACTGACTGATGTATGTATAGTATATACAAAATATCTTTATTGATGTATCCGTCAATAAAGATATATTTTATTCAGTTTTCGTACTTTATGACAATCTCATTTAAAATCATGTCTACTTTTTTATTGTCAAAAGTTTTTTACCATAGGGCTAACATAATTCAATGACTTTTCGAAGTTCAGAATGAAAAATACGAACCATTAATTTAACAATCATAGAAAAAGATTAAATTGTTCAATCAATCTATCAGTCTGTCGGCATATGATATACAACGTGATACATTTCGACAATGAACAACGAATGACAACATTTTTGTACGTATTAGAGTCATACACCATCGGCGAAAAAGAACAAAAGAAATTTTTTCCACATTTTGAATATGTTTCATAGACTTAAAGGTAGTAGACAGACGTTAAAAGTGCCATTACGATTTATAACTCTGTATATATTTTTTCTTTCTATAACAGCTGGTATTAATATTAAACAAGTTGATCGTTATACATATAGATCAGCAAACATGTTACAATAAAAATATTATTAACAAATTTGTCTTACTTATGCATTAAATCAGCCAAGATGACAACTAAAATCGGAAAAAAAAGAGCGAAAGACTTGACAGCTTTACTGGCTCTGGATACGGCCAAATTTGGCTGGTTCCATATCCAAGCAATTATTGTCAGCGGTATGGGTTTTCTTACGGATGCGTAAGTCTTTTTCTCTTTCATCATACAAATTAGAAAAAAACAAGTGATTGTTTATTTTAGTTATGATATGTTCGTGATTAATTTAGTTGTACCAATGTTAGGCATCGTTTATTTCGATGGTAAAATGCCAACATCATCAAATGAACTCCTAAAATCAATGACACCTATTGGAACTTTGTTAGGACAAATCATTTTCGGGTTTATGGCTGACAAATTGGGTAGAAAACGAATGTATGGTACGTTAGTAAAACTGCATAGGAAAATTGTTTAATAAATATTGACTGAATACTAATTATAGGTGTTGAATTGATAATAATTATAATAGCAACGTTAGCAAGTGCGATGACAGGTGATACTAAGAGAGGAATTGGTATTATACCACTTTTAGCTTTTTGGCGCTTGATATTAGGATTCGGAATAGGAGGAGACTATCCTACCTCGGCCGTTATCACATCCGAATTTGCCACATCCAATCGACGGGGATTAATGATTGCAGCCGTATTCGCCATGCAAGGAATTGGCATTTTGTTAGGTGCTACTGTTGCACTATTAACGATATTGTTCTTTAAATCTTCTATTGAAAATGATCCATTTATGCTTGATTATGTTTGGAGAATAATTATTGGTGTTGGCTGCATACCTGCTTTAGGAGCACTCTACTTTCGAATAACACTCCCCGAATCACCACGGTACACAGCGGATGTCGAAGGGAATCATGAAGAAGCCATTAGAAATATTAAAAATATCATGGAAAAAACAAAAGAAAAAGTTCAACCACGGTATCAAAATCAACAAAAGAGGACGCCGAATACATGGAAAAATTTTCGTGTTCATTTTGGAAAATTAAAACATTTTAAAGTGCTCTTCGGATGTAAGTTAGTTATGTTTAACGTTATTTTTTTATCTGCTTGAATATTTTAGGTTCTGTCTGTTGGTTTTTGTTGGATATTGCTTTTTATGGTTTAACTTTAAATCAGTCGATGGTACTTGATGTGGTTGTTAATAAAATAAAAAAATCACCATATGAAACAACCTGGGATCAAGTTAAAGGAAATTTAATCATTGCCTTTCTTGGCTCAGTGCCAGGGTATGTTTCAATGATCTAGAAGAAGAGGGAGAAATATCCCACTTTGTGGCTACCGTTATCGATCAAGGGTGCTGGCGTAGTTAGTCTTAAGAGGGAACCTTTCCAAGTGTCCAACAACTTTTCTAACGAAATGCAGTAGTTGATAGGTAATCGACCATGCTGATTCTGAATATGATAGCCCTTTTTGTCCATAGGCCTTTCCTAACCTGTTTCTGGAAAACTGGTTTTCCACAAACCTCGAAAAATCCCCAAGAGTTTTTCTAAATAAGTCAGGACTGTAGCCCGCGAAATTCGGATTAAAATAAGACATCTCACAGGTCTACACGACGTTTCTTTGCAAAGTTATAGAATTTACAAGAAAAGCCCTAAATGTTTATTGTCATCCAGTCACTAATCCTCATCCACAGTTCTGTTTAGACGTTAGCTTAATATAAACCTTCTTCGATCAATTGCTTTAGCTTCCCACACACTTACTATCAAAGTACCAACTCGTTGCAGAAAGCCATAGAGACTAATCGGAAAAACTCTATTGCTCAACGCAACGTAGTAAGTATACTATAGGACAGATACTACGGGGTACTACGACATAACCATCCAGCCCGATAGACTTGTGAATCAGTCACAAAGCAATACATTTGAATTAAGGACAAGTGATGTAAAAGTTTTCAGAACGATGTAAACTAAGTCACTTGAAAGAAAAAACAAGAATTTTAGATTCTTTCAGAAACCCATTAGTTCCTCTTTACTACGATGGCTAAAATCGTCACATGATTATAAGAATAAATAGATTGATTGCACCATAAACGAAAATTTTGCAGTTGAAGGAGCAATACAGCATTCTCATTCAGGATAAATACTGTGCCAAAGTCAATATTTAGTTCACTTTATTTCTAGTTACTGGTTCACGGTTTTTCTCGTTGAGAAAATGGGACGAATTAAAATTCAACTTATGGGATTTGGCCTCCTGACAATCATATTTATTACATTGTCCGTGGCTTATCATCAAATAACCTCTCGACCCGCTCTTTTTTTAATTATTTATGGTGCTGGTCAATTTTTCTTTAATTTTGGCCCCAATGCAACAACGGTAACGAAAGAATTGTACATCATATTGTCTTGTACAATTTATATTCTCTTTTGTTTTTATTTTAGTTTATTTTACCCGCAGAGGTATTTCCAACACGCTGGAGGTCAACGTGTCATGGACTAGCTGCTGCTTCAGGCAAACTTGGAGCAATAATAGCCTCGGCATCATTTCCTTCTATAGCCGGAGATAAAAATGAGAATCTACGACCATTAATCGGTTCATTGTCAATAATTATGGCATTAGGATTTTGTTTTACATTTCTTATACCCGAACCATGTGGACGCACACTCGAAGAAATATCAGCTGATTATGATGATGGTGATGACTCAAACGAAGAGGGAGTATCGGATATTCGAGAAGAACAAAATATACCTGTAACAGAGCGAATTCGTATGAATAATTCTTCTTTTATTATTGAGCAATCTTAAAAGTCATATTTTTATACACATACTTATTTCAATTTTTATGATTTGTGTCTGAATTTTCTTTTTAATAATTTCAATATAAGTAGTAGAAGAACAACAGCCCTATAGTTCAAAATTTCAATCCTCGTTAGTAGAAGGATTGAAATGTTGAACTACATACTATAAAAAGCGCTGTTGTTTCTCTATTATTAGTTTTAGTTCTGTTTATCTACGAGCCAAGACGCCTGGAAAAGAAAGAAAAGAAGTAAATTTAGCTCCTTACTCAAAAAATATCACGTGCAGTAATTAGAAATGAAAATGAAAATTGTGTGTTTAGCAAGTAACATATCAATCGCATCATCATTATCATTGGTGCTAAGTATTCAAGTACAAAATACAAAAAGAAACCTTTTCGATAGTAAAAAAACAAACAGTGTAAAAAGAAATAAGTGTCACACAGGTGCTACCAAGTCATTCTAGAATTAGCTTATATTAAACACATTATAAAGAGATTAAAATAACTAGTAATAGGCATTAATACTCGTTGAAAATCGGAGTCTCGAAGATGCCTTATCAATTGTATTTAATGAACCATCACCATCTCCTTTACAAAGAACATTTGAAAATAGTTTGAGCAAGCGATTCAAGCGAATTTTTCTGGCGTCAATTTTGAAACGGTTGAATCTAATAGTGATTTTGAGATTGATAAAATGTATAAAATGTTATTCATTGTTAATGGCTCATTGCAAATGAGTTCGGGTAAAATGTGTGCTCAAGTAGCTCATGCCGCAGTCGATTTATATTCACAATTAAATGATCAACGTTCAAAGGACTTAAACTGTTGGAGAAGATATGGTCAAACGAAAATTGTTGTACGTGGAAAGTCAGCTGAAGAATTACTTGAAATACAAAATCAAGCTTCCCGAACGAAAGGAATCGTTACAGCGACTATACAAGACGCGGGTAGAACAGAAATTGAAACGTCATCTATCACATGTCTTGGTTTATTTGGTACAAATTCCAACTTAGATCCTATAACGGGTCATTTGAAGTTGATGCACGATTGTTTAAGATGTAGTAATAATGACAGTATAACGAAAGTTAATGGTGATGGTAGACAACGTCAAACAACAAAAAGAGCAAGAGGAAAACAAAAAAATGATATTAAAGGAGAAGAAAGTCCGACAGAAGATTCAACAGTAGTAGTGATTAATTCTCAATCAGATACATCAGATGTGCAATCAACGACCACAAATACTGATGGACATGTTAAACAGACAGAAACGGAAATTGTTGAAATAAAATAACAAATTCTTTTTGTTTTTTTTAGTTGTTAATCTTTTCTACAGATGTATTTTTACTGTTTGTTAAATTTTAAATACAGACTTTCAAACTACGTAGCTCGCCGGATGAATACTTAAAGAGATGTCTTTAGTCTTTTTGTACACAATAGCGACAGTTCTAGCTCTGCTTTGTCTCTTTGTGATCTCCCTCCTCTCTCTCTTACTAACGCTTTCTCTAGCAGTTTGCCTCAAATTTCGGCTGTGACAGCTAACGTTAATCCATTGGCATTTGTTTGGCAATTTAAACCTACTTTATCTCGTTCTTCCTCGTTTACTATTTTGAATCATAACATTCAAAGTATTCTTGCCAACTTAACGCTGCTTCAACAAACTATCCTATCTGATAAACTATAATATGGCTGCAAGTGACTTTTTTATCACTAGATATATCCGATTTAAAATGCTGCCTACCTGGGTACTCTATTTTCAGACGTGATCGTAATCGACACGGAGGAGGAGTTCTCATCTACATTCCGGATCTTTTTCAGTGCTCCTTGATCGCGACTGACACTAACACAGAATCGATACTAGTGAAGGTTATAGTAAACACCCGTATCTTTATGGTTTGTAATTCTTATCGACCTAAAGAATCTAGAGATGGATATTTCACTCAGCTACAGTCCTTTCTCCATTCCTCTCCACCTGCTCTCTGTGATATTCTTTTTATCGCTGGCGATTTCAATGCTGATCCTTCTGACATACCAATGACCTCTTCATCTTTAAAAGAGGCTTGTGAAATGTTTAGCAGCCATTTTAATTCTTGCTACTCGTCAGTTCAGAATACTCTCCCTATCTCTGGAACAGCACCCAACTTAGTGGGACCATTAATTTCTGACATATTCGTTGATCTAATCGAGGTGGTAAAACCTGTAGGGACTATGAAAAATACCGCTGGCGTTGGAGTTGATGGTTTCTCGCTGAAGTTTATACAGTTATGCCTACCAGTTCTCGGAAATCAATTAGTACACATATTTAGGCTTTCAATCTCAACGGGGACTTTTCCAGTTCAGTGGAAAGTAGCCAGTATAACACCAGTATATAAAAAAGGAGACTCATCATTTATTGAAAATTATCGTCCAATTTCACTTCTATACGTTGTAAGTAAGATCCTTGAGAAGATTATTCATAAGCAGCTGTTATCTTTTCTTCCCGACAATATGCTAAGCGCTATCCAGGTTGGGCTTAGACCGCCTTCGTCAGCGTTAGGTGCTTTACTACGAGTTACTCACTTTCTTTTTAGCAGCCTAAATAAGGCAAGTCTTGAAAAAGAGCATGGCATAGGGTTAAGTTTTGATCTGTCAAAAGCGTTCGATCGTGTGTCGACTGATCTTCTACTAAATAAGTTAAAACTGCTTGGTATCGATGGGAGTCTTCTTAACTGGTTTACGTTTTATCTAACAGGGCGCACTCAGTTTGTCAAAACTGGCGAGAGCTTTTCCTCTCAGTCGCCGGTTTTCTTGTGGGTGTCAGAAGGGTCCATTCTCGGCCTTTTACTTTTTATTTTATTTCTAAACGACTTTCCCGCGCCAACTTTGTCGTCGGTGATAGATAGTTCTTTTGCTGATGACCTTTTGTGGTTTTATCGTTCAAAAAATCGGAAAACATTTCTGTTATTCAGAATTTAGTTCAAGCTGAAATAGACAGGGTAACAGACTGGTGTGAAAAATTGATACTTATTTTTGATACTTATTTCAATTTTTATGATTTGTGTCTGAATTTTCTTTTTAATAATTTCAATATAAGTAGTAGAAGAACAACAGGCCTATAGTTCAAAATTTCAATCCTCGTTAGTCGAAGGATCGAAATGTTGAACCACAGACTACTATAAAAAGCGCTGCTGTTTCTCTATTATTATTGAATGTATAACCTCATTCTAGACATATGAAACCTCCAAATGGGTTTTTGCTTAGAAAACTTTTTTAGAACGCCAGAAATTTAAAATTTGAAAAAGCGGCTCTATCCAAGAGACTTATAGATGTATACTGATTATGATAGCGACTTGTCTTTGCTTTGTAAGTTTCAATTCTGGACTGAGGATTTGCCAAAAATTAGTTAAGGGTTCGAAATACAAAGACCAAGTATTTATTACAATCGCATGTTATGATAAACATCCCCTAAACGTTTGTGTATGTAATGCGGTAGAAGTATTTCCAAAAGAGTGAACCATAATTTTCACACTAATGCCTGAGACTAACTACAAAACAAATTCAGCAAATACTAATCTGCATACCTTTTTGGTTAACAAACCACAGCTGTAAGAGGAAGACACGCTGCGCATATAATATTCATGAATACTTATGAATATTACCAATAATAATCGTATCTTACACAGAGAAAGAAAATAGATGGTTAGAATGAAAGATATCGTCAAAATATTTATTTCTAGATTATTCGATGCAGACGATCATAAAATACAAACAAAGGATAGAGTAGAGGAAAAACAATCAAACTCACGCAAACAGAAAATATCACGAAAAAAAATTGGATTGTACACGTTGGAAGAGTTTTATTCATGGCAAAAATCGTGAAATAACTAAGACAAACTTTGAGTACATGAAATAGAAAAATAAAAAGCCAAAAAACAAAAAGTAATGCCCATAAAATATCGGAATGTTAAAGGGCTTACACGATTTAATCGTAATACAAGCGTTGATAGTAACTCTTATACACTAGAAAGTATTTCAAGATTGAGATTCAATAGCTACATTATGTTTGATATTTCATGCAAATAAAGTTTATATAGTGTACGCGCATAAGTGTCTGTGTTTTTTTTTGCTAAGATCCCAGAGACCTAAAAATAAATAAAAAAAAGTATAACGATGCTTGTGTGCGCCCTACATATTACCAATCTTCAGGTACAAAAAAAAGAAAAGATTGAATTGAACGTCTAACAAAATTCTGTAACAGTTCTGTTTATCTACGAGCCAAGACGCCTGGAAAAGAAAGAAAAGAAGTAAATTTAGCTCCTTACTCAAAAAATATCACGTGCAGTAATTAGAAATGAAAATGAAAATTGTGTGTTTAGCAAGTAACATATCAATCGCATCATCATTATCATTGGTGCTAAGTATTCAAGTACAAAATACAAAAAGAAACCTTTTCGATAGTAAAAAAACAAACAGTGTAAAAAGAAATAAGTGTCACACAGGTGCTACCAAGTCATTCTAGAATAGATATGTAGGCAGACGCCTAGAAAATAAACAACATATCAACGGAACAAGCGAAGAACTATATCAAATAGAATACAAAAACTTTTCTTATTATGCTTAAATCACGTTTTTATATATTTAATACATTAGAAAAATGATAGGATGAGAAAGAAAGCGAAATACATATTGGCATTATTTTTTCCTTATAACATATTCATTTACATTTTAAGACTGAACACCAAGGATAAAAAATCTTCATATCCAATTGTAATATAACCATTTTGCTGACGATCAAAATGTCGAAATGCGTTTGTTAATGTCTAAATTAAAAATAACAAACCATTGATGATCATGAAAAAAATATACACATTGCTAATATCTCTTACTTGTATTGAAACACATGCTTGTATAAAATCGTCAAATGCTACAGTGCCACGTGCTGAGCGATCAAATTTTTTTATCAACAAATCATAAAAACGATCGGATAAACGATAACCTGTTCGGATAAACGTAACAAAAAAATGTCATAAATATGTTAGCCGTAACAAGAAATCGTTTGTGTATGATACCATTATTATTGTAAAATATAGAGCAGTAACTGGAATTTTTTAATATTTTCTAATGTGAATTTTTAATGAGAAGCAAGAGGTGAAGCTGTATGGTTATATGTATGCAACACATTTATGAATGAAAGGTCAAATAATATCCAAATGTTTTATATTCGTATGGATAAGTTCACTATTATTATGGGTGGGCCCTAAGTCTTGAAGCCGATGAGTCTTAGTATCCTATATTCATCGGTTTGAAGACTTAGCGCCCACCCTTTACGAGTGACAGATAATTATTGAAGTGATAGTATCATACACAAACGATATATAAATATATATAAAAGAAAAGAAAACCATATTTTAACGCTTATCAGGGTGAAATGGATGCATGGGTGAAAAGCAAAGAAGAAATGCATATTTTCAATTTAGGATTTTATTATACAGGGGTGAAAAAACAAATGAATATAAAAACATACCAAATGATGCCAATGCTGTTTTTAACTCATGTTTATCGATTGTTCCAGAATGGTCAAGATCAAATGTTCTACAGAAAAACGGCAATTGCATTTATACAATAAAAATGATAAAATTTTAAATATACCTAAAGCAACGTTCCCAATCGGAAACATATTTCCATAAGGATTTGAATTCTTGAAAGTCGATCGTAGCTGATTGATCCTGATCAAACATTCCTGTAAGCAAAATCGGTTTTCTTTTCTTTTATTTAAGTAAATAATAATCAATATACATTGTTAATGTAAAGAAAATGTTTCACCTTATTACAATTTCCTCACATTATCAGTATATTGTTGTTGAATTAAAAACATATATAAAAACATACCAAATGTAGTTAATGCATCTCTAAATTCTGTTTTATCTATCGATCCATTCTGATCTTTATCAAAACCGCGAAATGCCCGTTCCCATTGCAGAATATAATGCCATAAACTTTTGAATTCATCAAGATTAATTGTACTGTCAGTATTCTTATCAAACATCCCTTTTTTACGATGAATTAAAATACATTTTACTTATAAATGACTCAAAAAACCTTCTGAATATATACACAATTAATCTTAGGTCAGATGTTTTGTCAGACGTAGACTAGAAAAACTTAAAATGTTTCTTCGAAAATATCTAGATTTCTAAAGCGACGAATGGATTTCAAGAAGAAGAATACCATACCACTTTTTACCACTATAAAGGATATTTTTTTGTGTGAATGATCTAATTTTTTTAAAGAAAACTTCTTTGATACTGCAGTCGAAGTCATCGACTATGAGAAACCTAATGAGCATCATCGTTAATCAATAGCAGCATTAATCAAAATAAACTTGGAACTGTGAATATGTGTATGTAAAGCCTTGCACTGCAACGCTAATACACTTCAACACAATTTCACCTCACAATAAGCGAATAAGCCTTAAACCAAGTGCCAATGAAGATGTTACTAAAAGTATTTTCTCTATCACAGGCTATGTTGTTTTTTAGAGGTGCTCTGGAATTTTATAGCTAAATAAATCGATTTTAATCAACTGCGTAGCTATATTTGTATCATTTTTCTAATACAAGGAAATCTTTACTCACGTAGATCGATTTAGTTTCAGATGTAACATTACAATTATATTTCGTTGATGCTTACCAATCATCATTCGAACAGTTTCCGGATTAAATGGTGTCCATGTTCCATTTGACAAGGCAGATCCTAATTCATTAGCTGTAATTGAACCCGAACGATCTGTATCAACCCTAAAGAAATAAACAATGAAAAAAACAATTACATGTCTGAACAAACTTTTGATCCCACTATTCGCTATCTTTATATTTTGTTTTAAACAATGTTGTTTTACCACAATTCAAAAAGTAATCCGTTTCAAGTCAATAACTCACCTTCGAAACACTTGTGCCAAAAATTCATCCGTAGGTTCTCCTTGTGCTTGATTTGTATAATGTTGATCAGGTCGATATGATGACATGGTTATTTTGTTAAATAAATAATGTGTTTACAACTAATCGAATATAAAAACAATCTAATATTTGATAATGAATATTAAATACCAAATCTAAAAATATTAAAGAAACAATCGAATAAGAACGAGAAAATTATATGCTATATCCCAAGAGTACTCTAACATTAGCTGACTGGATAATTTTTTTTTCATTTATGTCCAGTGGGTATTTAAATACCTACAGATTTTAGTTCATATAGTTATAGTATCTGAAAATTATCTATGGCTTACGAACCACGTGTGCACTTCTCATGTCCTTTGCTAGCATGTGCAGTGTGTAGTTATTAGAATAGATTATTTGTATAATGTTTAGCATCTTTCCTTACGCCAAAATTTGACATAAACATGGTATTTTTGAGCTTATGTTTTTATTCACTTATATCACATGCAGATCAAAGATTAGCTAAACTGAAGTACTGAAGTACCACGTGTACTTATATAAAAAGAAAGCTGTGAGTTAATTAAAGTTAAAATTTAGGCACAAACGGGTGATATAAGAAGACATTTATTTTGCAACATCAGAACTGTTTCGAGGGTGTCTGAATGAAGTAGTCTAAATAGACACATAGTCATGACGACGCCATGCCATATCGCAATAGGTCTTTTTATAAATTCATACAATGGCATTTGCTGAAATGCATACATACAGAACACTCTATCTAAGCAAACAAATTGTTTTTTAGATGCAAAAGGAAAAGAATGTGTATTTTTTTTCGATAAGGTACTAAAAACGACTAATATATTTTCGACTATGTTCCTTTTAGAACAGATTAGATTATAGTAGTGCAAATTAAGATTTTTTCAATATTTTGTAATAACTTTTTTATCTTGAAATCTTTTTCTAACTTATTTGAAGATGTTTTCGTGAAGAGTTCCTTTATGCACCCATCCAAAAACTTAAGCTGGCTCCCGAGGTATTTCTGAACTCGTTACGAGAATTCTCAGAGGTAGTTCAGGGAAATGAATGATGTATAACTCGACTCACCGATGATTAAACATTAACAAAGTATCTGCAATGTACTGATTTTACTCAATTCCTGAGGTTCGTGCCCAACATTAAATGTTTACGCCCAAATGAGCTAGCTATTTATGTATAGTACTGCAAAAAAACGTTTAAAAAAGTTGTTAAATCAAAAACCAATTACTACCATAAAACAATAATTAAAAAAACAACAAAACAACTGAATCATTTCAAAAGATATAAACTCTCTTTCTCCCTCCAGCTCTACTCTAGTATAACTTATAAGATAAAAAACGTAAAGATAAAAAATTGAACTAAAGCCAAATTCTCGATTGTGAGCTATAAATTTCTCTCTTTTTATTGCTTATTGTGGACAACATGTATATCGTCACTTTTTTTCTGTGTTGCAAGGCAAATCGTGTCTGATTACTATTCATCATGACAGTCGAGCACCTTAGATAAACAACATGTCACATGAGCAACTATAAAAATGTTCTTTTTTTCTGTTCTTTCGTTTCTTCGCTTTTTTGTGGTCTTTTTCCACATGACTCATACGACGAAATAGTTATCGTGGTCTTTTTCGATTCATCTATTAGACTATATTAAAATGTAAATACATACTACACGTGTATACGATATAAAGAAAACGTACATTGTCTTTCGTCTCTCAGTGCCTTAAGAAATTTCTCTACAAATAATTTCAGTGCGTACGTGCGTACACGTGTCGATGTATCTCTGGCAAAAGAGTGCCCATATAAAGCACGTTTAAATTCAAGGCATCTTCTATTCAATGAAATTGAGAATCACAAAAGTAAAAAATCTGAAGCATTTTAACCGGATACATTTGGTCGTCAGACTACGTACCAGCCATAAAAAAGAGAGAATATGCAACTTCAATTACAAAAAATAAAATTATCAATTCTTTCTCTTCATCTTACTTTCCATAATAACACGTACGTTCTAACTTTATAAGGTCAGGACTGGAATGGGAAGATAATAGAGATGCTAACTTACGCTCTCATAACTCATGAAACTGAAAAAACGTAAAAATGTTCATGACTGATGCTTATTTAGAGCTTATAAAAAACTAAACTAACTTCTAAGCGCAAAAAATTTGCAAACAAATCCATGTCTGCTAGGAAAGCATTTAGGAAGTAGACTGATAAGATTCATATACGTAAAAAAGTGAAGTTTTCTATCGAATTCATCTATTTCCAGCATGGTTTGTGTCTACTGTTGTAGCTGTCACATCAGTGCTGCTGTAGCTTCACTTGGAAAAGCCTGAATGGCGATTTTCGATAAAATCGCCTAACAATAGAGAGTTGAACCAATCGGATACCATCCAGTTACCTTACAGACTGTAATATTTCAATATTTGTTTAATTAGATCGTAGACTTCGCCATGTTTTCTTGATGCGAAACGAACTTTAACGAAGCTAATTTCATATTAATACGCTCGAATTTTTTTTAACTTCAACATAAGGAACATTCCTTTCCACAATTTCTCGAATATCTTCGTCCAGTTCGAATAATTAATTGTTTATTTGTTTGGCAAGAATGAATTAACACTTTTATGATATTATTGATTATAGACAACATGAATCATTATTTGTATTGATAACTGTTATAATAGTTTATTATTAAGGTAACAGCCATCATATCAATATCATAATAAACAAATTTGCATATTTCTTAAACGAAACAACAAATATCCGCGTCTACTTAACCCATTGTAACACGATCGTTTACCATAATGAGAAAATCTGTATAAGACTTTTTAAAAGGTATGTTTTTCCAACAGTCTTACAAGGAGATTGGTAATGATAATTTCGATATGTATGATGTATAAATGTTATGTTATACCACGACTGTTTATTCTTCAATAAATTGGTTGTATTTTGTGCAAAACTTGCTAGTACTAGATTATTCGTCGTTGTCTTTTCCTAGATTATCTTCAATAACATTCTCTTTTTTCTTCTCTTTGCTGTACAGTCGATTTTTCATTCAAAATGTTATTATGTGTCATCATTGTTATTATTATTTATTATATATAATATTGTTGTGGTATTATTATTCACCAATAACCGAGAAATAAAGCGGGAGGTGAAGAAAACGGACTATGAGTATTAAACATGAATAATATCATAGGACATGCTAATTGGACATTTTCTTCTTCTGTGATTTAGTCACAATACTCTTGGATACAATGTTTTATTTTAAATTTTTAGTTTAATACGGCTTCCAAATGTTTATTTAGCTGATTAATTATTCATTACTTTTGAGGGTTTTTAAAGCATCATCAAAGATTAGATGTTATTTGAAGATTCTGCTCTAGACTCAAAAGGTAGAGAATTTTCAGCTCTACACCACCCTCTCTATCCGATATTTACACATCGTTTCATTATTTGAAAAATTAACGTTTCGTCAAAAGATATCAAAACTTAAAAAACTTTTCTAGCGTAAAAATCAGTAGTTCTGATCTAGCGCCAGATTCGACAAAAAGCAGGAAAAAATTAGCGAAGCAATGTGGAATAAGTGCTCGACATGCTGGATTTTTTAGAACAGAAAATTCTCTGTCTTATGAATCTAGAGCAGAGTCTTCAAATAACATCTAAATGCCTCAAAAATAAGAAACAAAAGTGGCCTACAATTTCTGCGCCACTCATTAGAATTGATAATCGTTATTAAGAATTTCTCACTATATAATATTCTCTAGGCGAAAACAAGCGTATGTATCTCAGATGGAGAAAAATGAAAAAACTCATAATCAATGCTCAAGATGTGCAGGTTTTTAATAGAAACGATTTAATGTTATTAGAAGTAGCTTTCATATTCGATCGTTGACCTATGTTTATCAAAGAAATAATTAAGAGTATGTTTAATTGTTAAATATTATTTAATTCGTTACATATTCAAAAATAACATAAGTTATTTACTATCTAACTGTCAGATACAAAGACATATAATCAACTATTAACATCTTTTCCGACGAATTCATTTTCAAGTGAAAAAGATGATATTAAAGTCTATATTCCAGATAACATCAAATCAGTGTTAGATACAGAAAAAGATGCATTTATAAAATATGTTCACCAAGAATTTTTAGTTGATGAAATCAAGCATACCTTAACAATAAATAGTTTTCAATTGATACAGTAGTAACAGCAATTGCTTTTAGATTCACTTAATAAAATATTTTATTAAATAAATATGAATCTCAGAACAACTGTTTTTATCAGCTATTTTTATCAATTCTAAAATTTCTACCCCTGAACAAATATAATGGTTTTAAATTTGACAGTGCTGAACGTATTTATGTTAAAAAAGATAATAAACCGACAAAAACAATAAAAGTTATTTTTGTTGATAAATTAAATTGTAAAACATTTTTAAAAACCGGGTTAAAAACTGATTATTTGCATTATGATGTTGAACCAGCTAAACCAAATACACAACCTGTTCAGTGCTACAAATGTTGTAAATTTGGACATCCAGCCAAATATTGCAAAAATGTTGGAATATGTATTAAATGTAGTGGTCCATATGCAGCAAGTATGCTTCAAAAACAATTGAAGAATATACAACACCAAGAAAACAAAAATAGAATATGAATGGTGACGACTTTCCTTATTTACAACCCAATCATTGAACAGCTACCAAATATCAATCACAATAGGAATAATAATGACGACACATGATTAAAAAATGAATATACCCGAATACTTATGGGTCTAGATTTGTCAATTTTTATTATCGAAAAGCATTAATTGAATACAAATGCAAAATATCAACAACATTTACAATGCGAGGCGGAACGCCCCAAAGATCGCCGTTATTGTATATATTGTTCACCAGTGATTCATTATCCACCATTCCAAGTCATAACAACTTGTTTGCAGATGATACTGCGCTTTGGGGTATTGCTAATACAACAAAAAGTTTATCAATACGTTTACAAGAATCAGTAACGAGTTTGTGAAATGGTTTAGATTGTAGAAGCTGAAAATACAAGCAAATAACACAAAAACGATCCACTTCACTAAACATCCACGACGCTGATTGAAAGTACCAATATCGATGATTGACTATTTTTGATTATTGCAAAAGACAAACTATTTAAACAGGTGCATAACCCAAGGAAATACACGAATAATGAAAGTATTTGCTGAAACAATACTATACAAACATGCAATTAAAAATCTCATAACAGTATGCTGTCCATCATTCGGTAAAAATTGAAAGTAACAGCAAAAAGGACACTAAAACCATCATTACAATCTGTCGTCTTTATACACAATTTTTTTAAAACAAACGACCTCGATCAACAGCCTATTGGCAATAGGCTATTGCCAACTTATTATTTGAATAAACTTCCCTCTTTATAAGACTAAGACTGTTTTATTCACGAAAAGTGAGAGCCATCAAAGGTCCCCGACCTGTAATAACAATGACACACCATAAAAGTCTCAAAAAAGAACAAAATAAAGAAGACAACTAAGGTTAGAACTAGAAGTAGTAAAAAAAGTTTTTTAAAAAAATAAGCAAAAAAGAAATATAAATTTTTAACTGGCAAACTTTCACCGGAACAGATACTAAAGTAAAGCTGTTTTGAAAGACATTAAAGAACTGAAAGAAGAATGACGAATAACTGACTCTGGGAGATTATTCCAATGAGCAATAGTTGAATAAAAAACGAAGAATGTACCGTTTGCAGAGGAAAACCATCAACAGGAAATGGAATGCGAACATATTTAGAGTGATGAAGACGTAAAGACGAGTAGTGAGGACGATGAACAATATAAAAAAGAGAAACGGGACTTAGACTATGATAAATTTTGAAAAACTGTAAAGGTCTAAAGTATTTACGATGAAGAGAGAGATTTCGAGCAGTAGCAGACCAGAGTCTGTTTTTTTGCTGTGGCAATAAATTTCGAAAAGTATCAATAGTGGACAAAAAAAAACCGCTTTTGAAACTAAGAGTATACCCATATGATCACACCAATTTTTTGGTATGGCAATTGCCACACCTTGCCATCACATCGACGCAAATCAGAACTCATTACTATTACTCCCTTGACTTTAGTCTAGGGTCTTACACAATGGTTGCCTGTCTGTTCGAGTGTACGGAAAATACGAAAAAACTGCTGTCAGATATTCCATGCACGGACAAGGGACAAAACATAGAAAATTCTTTTTAACCACGCCAGACAAAATATTCAAAGAAATGATCTGAAATATTTCCTGATACAGATAGAAAAAAAAGTTAAGCAAACGTTTCTATAGTTCGGAGACAGACATCGCCAGAAATCAATGAATAGAATTTTGATTTGTTGAGAACGTTATATTGGATTCTAAAGTCAAGAAAGGTCGTCCGCAGATATAAGTCCTACTGTCAAGGAACAGAGTGAGTGCAGACGAGCGTTACCTTGTTGCTTCCTTGTCTTTAGTCAAGTGTCTTACAAACGATGAGTTATCCGTCTGTCTGCAAGACATCGAAAAATGGTCGTAGGTAATTTCTGGATCATTCTCTCCGAATGCAAGAATTCTTAAAGTACGTTTGAGAGGAGGTGAGGAAGGGCAGTCCGAGTGGATGGGACAGATAAGTAGCATTTTGAGAGATAAACGAACAAAGTATACTTTCTTTTTACAGCCGTATAGGTGGCGTCAGTGAACAGTACAATTAATATGTTTTGAGAAACCAGAAAGAAAATATAACTTAAGACAATAAAAGTGCCACAGCATGTGTAATCGAGTATAGTGGATTTAGCAGAGCGGGTTTTGGGTACGCGAGGGATCTGTAGAAAACGCTTACGATTTTCAGGAATTTATGGACTACTCTCAATTGGAAATGATCAATAAGCATGATATTTAATGTCTAAGATCTCTAAGATGTCTGAAAAAAAAGTTGGCAATGCCGGCTGTTATAAAGTGACGCGAACGACGCACACTCTTACATCAGGGGACCTTTTCTGTAACAGAAAATAATAGATAGACCTTTTTGTGAAAAAAAACTTAAAAATGTATATGGATTGCTGCAGTCAATGGAAAAATGTAACAGTTTCGTTAAATCCTTGCTGCGAGCGCCGAACGAACGGAGACACGAGCCACGTCTAGGGTACATGAGTTATGACTAAGATCTTTTCAGAAAACTTTCAAGTTTTTTGACCAATTTTTGAGCTGATATGATCTGAGTGAGAAATGATGAGTGCTTATAGTAAGAGGAAGTTAGGATCTCTACCAAGTCTTCAGAAAACGTTTCGAGTACTCTAAAAAAGCAGAGATAAAGCCAACGAACACAAACTAAGCCTAAATATGCCGAGTGCACGGTAGTTCAGTGACAGAAAATTTATTTAAGAACGAATTTCATGGAGGACGCTATCTTACGGAAGAAATCTTAACGAACAAATTTCAACGTAAAACTAATCCAGTCAATCAGACTGAGAAGAGTGTACTCTAATCTAAATAGTCAACCTTGGAGAATTTTTGGGAGTTCTGAGTTTTGAAGAATGCCAGTAGTTCGATAAAACATTGCGGGTTTCTATCGATCTCTGAGTTTATGTTTGAGTAAAGCAAATTATCAGGCACCTGGAGATCTTTTCTTCTTTGCTGATATATGTTGTCGAATATTTCGTGTGCACTCATATGAAACAGAATGTTACAGTCAATGGCCCAGTGAATCAGGATAGTGAGCGTTACTTGTAATGCATAACTTAACTCATTTTTTTCCTTATTTATTCACATTGCAAACATGGAAGCTCCAATAGAATTACATGAGAGTGGCTTTACGCACTAAAACAAAGCAGAAGAAGCCATTGAAGAGTTATTGAGATTTTTAAACGATTATTCCTCTGTTATTTACGATATAAAATGACAATAAAAATATAAATTGTGATGAATGTCTATTGGTTGAAAGTTTTAACCAATCCTTGCTACTTTTGTTGTGGCATTAATTTCATTTTATTTATTTATTTATTTATTATTTATTTTTCTATTCTATGTTACTTTATAACATTAAATCTATAACGTAGTTCGAGTATAACTATGTAAAGCGAATACCTCAAGGAAGTTTTTTAATTTATTATAGATGTAACTGAAGAATAAAGTGTAACTTATCTGCAAATGATTGATTTTCATATCGTCACTAAATAGTGTTTTTATAGTGATATGCTTTTACTATGAATCTGATGGTTTATGTTGATGAAAATCGTGTTACTTTATTGAAAGCCATTCTAAGTTTTTTTCAGAGGTTCTTTGAACACATACTAAACCATATAATTCAATCTGAAGAATTGAGAATCTCTGATTGCTTTTTTTAGATTGATTATTGAGATGTAATTTGCTTTTCTCCCTGCAAAAAATCGACTGTAATTATGTACATGTAAAAGAAGTTTTAGTTTCAATATTAATAATTCAATAATCAGTACTAATAATCGCTAATTTTGTATACTTTGTAAATTATCTGTTTCCTTTCTATTATGTATATTGGTCTCAATCGTATAGTAGCGGATTTATGGTAAACTTACAAGTGTTCATTTAACAAATTATTGTTGAATGTTTATTTTTTGTATAGTGAAAACGATGATTATGCCACAATGATCGTTGTTGATTCCATATTTGGTTTTACAACGCACAAGATGAATGTTAGGTACGGTTAACAGTAGTATCATTATCGTTTTTGTATGTTATCTTACATTTTTCTTATAGATTTCGACCGAATCGGCGTCTATTACCATTATGGAAACAAGCGATTGTTCAATTTAGTATACATGGTGATTATGAAAAATGTTTCGACGAGGTGACATCGAATGGGAATTGGTATGCACAACTTTTGGTTAGAAAAAGTCCGTCACAATTATCAGCATTCAAAGAACACGTAGGCTTGTTCACACTTAGAATTATTTACTTTTATTTAAAAAATATTATTTATATTTTCTAGCTATTTCGATTTTTTCATTTATTCAATAAAAATTCTGGTGTAACACTTCAACCATGCAATCGTTATTCATCAGAAAATTGTGGAGGAAAAGTAGTGGCTACAAAAGAATGGTAAATATGAGAAAACAGTATTTCTACTCCTTAAACAATAGCTATTTTGTATTCTTATTTCTAGGTTAGCCAATGAGAAAATTGAATTATTAATCGGATGTATTGCCGAACTAAGTCCAGAAGAAGAACAAGCATTTCTCAAGCCGGGCGTCAATGATTTCAGTGTTATGTATTCATGCAGAAAAAAATGTTCTCAACTGTGGTTGGGACCCGCTGCATACATAAACCATGATTGTCGAGCAAATTGTAAAGTATGTCTTTACACTTTTTATGTTTTCACGAGACAAATATGTACAGTTCATCGCAGAACTCTGTTTAACTACCGACCGATAATTTTACATTCTACTGATGAACAAAGCTAATAATACGTGCTTAGACAAATAAATGATGAATTAAATAGAACTGAAGTTTTATTTTAGTTTGTTGCAACAGGCATCAGTTCTGCTTATATTCATGTCCTACGAAATATTGAAGCGGGTGAAGAAATAACATGTTTCTACGGTGGCGATTTTTTTGGTGATAACAATTCTCATTGTGAATGTTTAACATGTGAAAGGTAAAGCGAATAATGGTCTCTTCAACGCATATCTCTTCATTCTGTCTTATTTGGTAATCACTAAGCAGAAACATATGAAAGATGTAATTCTGTACATTTTTCAGTAAAAAGAAGTTTGACTCATCTATGGAGGTCTTTACACTTGACATCTACAGATGTAAAAGATTTTTTTATTCGTTACGGTTTACGGTTTAGACGATGCAAAGGCGCATTTTCGTCCGCTAATCGAACAGTAACCAATAAGGTATCTGCATCCACCACGGAAAATGGACCAGAACATCTACCATCATCGACAAATAAAAATTACCTCTTACGTGAAACAGAGCATCGTTTACGCAAAGTTTGTCCATCTGACTCAACTGTGACTTCTTCATCGAAAGGTAAATATTAATGCTGAACTACGAAAGCATTCGAAATGTTAAACTACGCTAAACCACGATAAAAGATTTTCTGAAAATACAAATATAGAACAGCGAGATATAATAGATAAAAATATTTCTAAAGCGAGATGAACTGAAACTGTTTCTTTAAATACGGTCAACTAGATAATATATATTTACTGCGCATTGTTTTCACCATGTGTTATCGCAACAGCAAATTCATATTGTGCATAAGCGTTGCCAGTGCTTGTTGTTTTTTATGAACAATTCTGCTATTTTATCATTCTTTTAATCGAAAATTGTGGGAGATATAACTGAAGTTTTTCTTATTTAAGCTGCCGATTTCGTGAATTTTAGATTATTGGAGTTCAAGATCGAACTTCTTGATTTTCACTAGCTTTTAAATATAAAATACTTATTATATGTGATGGTTATTCTGACTTTTGTTAATTTTCTAGAGATGATAACAATAAAACAAAATCATCATCTTCGACGACGTCATGCTCTTTATTCTCGTGATCGAATTCCATCACTTGATTCCGATTACAATGACGAAATACAACATTTCTCACACGAAATTTCAAAACCAACAGAGAAAACAGTACAACAAGAAGTAAGTAATTTTTTTCACGATTGTTAAGTAGCGAGCTTCTTAAAGTACTACAAGAACATAAAAATAAATCATTCTTGCCTCTAACATCATATTATTTTAGAACATCGATGTACTAACTACTCGATTGAGACGAGAACGAAAGAAAAAGAAGCAAAAAAGAAAGAAGATTGTTATCGAACAAATTCATAATCTTCGATTAAAACCAAACTATTCCCTTTCCATTGATCGTTCGTCGTCACGTTCTTCGTCTCCAAATATTTTCAGCTACATTTCTCATTCCCCATCAATATCAACGGATCAAGGTCGACAACATCAACAATCATCAACCACAACTTCCGATTCTGCATTTTCTGATGGCACTTCATCTTCAGTCGGCCACAATGTCTCAAGGAAAGAACAGGTAATCAAAAATAATCAGTATCAATATTCGAAATGTTGCGCTTGAAGCAATCGATTGGATGAGTACATTCTGCTTTTTTATACTATTCATAATATTCTAATTTATTTAGTCATATCCAAATTCTGAACTCCAAATGACATTGAAACAACAAGAACAAGAAGGATATTCTTCACCAACACAATGTACACGAACAAGATCACAGTCACAATATTCCTCATCCTCATCTCTATCATCATCCTCCAATATTCCTATAGAAAATCCAAATTTTGGTCAGTGGCGCATTAATCGAACGATTAGTCGACAATCGAGTACAACTACCACAACAACAAATTCAACAGAAAACGAAGATTCACTATCAATTATGAAAACAACCAAAACTCGTTTAGTTTCAGCGAATGAAGAATCGATAAATGATGAAAGTGATTCAAATCAACGTCGTTCATCCATACGTTTAGCACAACGACAAAATGACAAAGAAGAACAGAAAAAAATTCCGAAATTGACAATTCGAATTAGAGGACCAGATCCAATATTATTAAATGAATTAGAAAAAATCCGTAAAACGACAACAACATCATCGTCAGTACTGATTAAAGTTCAGGATGCACCAGAACTAGGCAAAAAACGATCGGCATGTGAAATGTCAATAGTTTCAACTAGAACAACAATTAAACGACAAAAAATATCATCTACAGTGGATGATAATAGACGTGTAGTTTTGAAACCGGTTGATGATCGTTTGAACCTTAAGCGATTAAAAAATAAAAGTATTTTTGAATAAAATAGCATTTGTAGTTTTAAGCATTAGAAAAATAATTCTCTAAATTTAGTAAGCCTTCCCTCCACTATCTACAATTACTATTTAATTGTGAAATGAAAGAAAAAAATATCTGATTGTTCTGTGGCAGTGTTCAGATTCTGTTTTACTTTTTAATATATAAATATTTCAAAATAAAAGATAAATTGTTGCGCATGAAATGACCTTCTATTTTTTATGTTTTTTCTGTTTGTTTGTTTATTTTGATGAATTGCACAATTTTTTTCGGAATTTTTGTTGTTTATATTTGTGTGTGTATATGTACAATAGATAGTGTGAAAAATATCGAACTTGTGCTCAGTAATTGTGAAATAAAAATCAAAACTCGCTTTATATAAAACAATTATTATCTCGTGTTATTGCGTGTAAGCGTTCACTTTTCTTCTAAATTTGATTGTAATATAGATATTAACTATCTAATAGAGCGAATAAAATCAATTCAAACCATGTAATTTAAACTGTTGTATATCTCTTTTGTTCTCTAACAATGTTGTTGCTATTTTAAATAAAGTTGTTCACAAGAATATCATAGAAATTCTTGATTTTTCAAGAGTCATAATTGTTAAATGAGTAATCTTTAAAGTAGGTGAAGTAGAATTGGAAACACGTTACAAGTAAACCATTGAAAAAATCTAAATAATTTCTAAGAAAACATTTGTAAAGAAGTAAAATGTTTATTTTGTATATTTCTGTGCTTTTTTGCTTATACAACAGCTTTCATTTGTGTGTTTGAGATCTTCATGTACAAATATTTTATCCCAAAATAGTCTTCAATGTTATTTGTTATTTTGTATGCTCCAGCTGAATTTGTTTTAGTTTTTTTGTTAATCAATCGTCATCTCTAAAACGTAATACTAATAATTTACTCAATTTATTCACAAGAAACGTGAGAGCCACCAAGGTCTCTGATCTATAATGACGCTTACTCTAGTCAAAGAGAGAAAACTGGACCATAGAACGAAGAGAATTTAAGTAAACAAATAACTGGTTGTTGAGAAAAATAATTAGCAAGAGTTAAAATACTAACGTATGTAGTGATGGAAGTCTAAGGAAAAATAGTGTGAACAATAAACAGGATAAAAATGGTAAGACGACTGAAATAATGATGATGATTTTTTAAAGAACTGCTCCAAAATGCTTATGGTTAAGAAAAACGCTTGAAAGGGAGACTGTTGCGACACAAACAACAAGATAAAAGAACGATAAGCACAATTATAAGAGTTAACACAAGGAAGTATACTTACAGAATCATGAAGAGAAAGAGACAGTAAAGGAGTTAGGTCCCCCTCTATCACCATTTAGATGATAAACGGAATTTTCTAAGACATGTTTATTGCCTCCTTTTGATATTTGGAAACACTACATGGAACCATGCAATGTTTGCTTTTGTTTAGAAAAGATGGAAAAACAACTAAAAATCTAGTTTTACGAAAAATACCGATTTTTCGCTATTTTCATCAAAAACTAAAAGGTTCATATCTCAAATTGATCTGACTGGCTTGAAAACTACAGACAATGATAATCAGTTTGGTGACTTTTTACAAGTTGAACATGATTTTCGATTTCAAACAAAGAAAAGGGTAGACTTTTACACATCAAGTTACTCTGGAAAATCTTACGCAAAATAGATGTAGGTTTAAGAAGTTTTCGGATCAATCTGCAATCAGCATGTGAACAACTAAGTAGTCCCCCGGATCCCGGATCAATTCCAAAAGAGGTATGTTTCTATCAAATAAGTTCCAGTTAGGCTCAGTGGCTGATATCCAACTATCTCGTCGTCTCATATAGCTATCAATTTTGTAAGTATAAAAACTCATCAATTTTCGCAGAAATGGATATGGTAGAGTAATCAGATAGTTTATTAACCATTTGTTTGTATGCAATGTATTTCCATAAATTGATTTCACTATTTTCTTTCATGCAGTACGATAATCAAATTAAGTCTTACACTCTGTGGAACACGTTTGATGAAGAAAAAGACCCTATGACGTTAATATTATGAAAAATGAAAAAAAATTTCAACTTAACCAAGTAGTTTTTAATCGGTACAATGATGTTCAACGGTGTTTTTTCCCCATGGTTTTTATTTTTTGTACGATTAAATTTTGAACCAGCTTTTGGTGCTCAACAAACGCTTTATGTTAAACGTGGTGAACGTGTTCAATTTGATTGTTCACAAGATAAACGAGAAGTTGCACGAAGAAAATGGGCACAAAGTTTACATGGTATTAGCGATGATATTATTTTCTTCAACTATAATTTATCGAATTATGAAATAAATTCTAAACTAGAAGATAGGTTTGATTATACAAATGATAACGTTGAAATATTAATTTTGAAGAGTGTTCAAGAAAATGATGCTGGATACACATATCGATGTGAAAGTTCTTATCTTGGGAAAGATGTGACAGAACGAGATTATACCATTGTTGTAATTGATCAACCAACATGTACAGAAAATGTGAGTGTATTTCAAGGTGAATCGGAAAATGTTACGTGTACAACGACAGTTTATTTTAAAAAACACACAAAACCTCCGTCAATAAAACTTGATTTTCAAGAAACACCGTTCGTAAATTTGATGATAATCTTAGAATGAAAATATGTCATTAACTTTTTTCTGTAATCCAGATTGTATTCCGATCCAGTACAATTGTTAAACGATGAGACAATAACGCAACATCACGCAATACTCACTGTTGATTCACTAAAATTGGTCGCCAATGTACTAATTAAACCAACATACGATGATAATGAAAGACATATGATGTGCGAAGTAAAATTGAACACCAACGATTTAAAATCATCTATCTGTCAAACTTATATTCGCGTAAAATGTTAGTCTTTTCAAATAAAATACTTGATCTTCGCTATCCAGATGTCTCTTTTTCAGATCATATTATCATGTCTAAAAAATCATGTTCTGTTTTCTAGTTGCACCAAGATCAATGCCAGATGGTAATGAATCTATAATTACTCGTTCAATCGATTGGAAAACGACAGAGTTAAAATGTCCATTAAATAGTAATCCGATTCCCATATATAAATGGCAATATCGAAAAAATAACAGTCAACAATGGAAAAATTTGGTGGAAAAAGACACGGCTATTATTGTTATAAATATGAATGAAGAAAATGCAGGAGACTACAAATGTATTGCAATAAATGGATTAGGGATAGATGAAACTCAAATTCATGTCATGAGTCGTCTCGAAGGTATGTATTTTAAAACAGCATATATTTTGAATTATGCTTGTTTCAATATTTTATATTACAAGAAAAAAGTGATACAGTCAGTGATGGAAAAAAGAAGTGGTGGTTTTGGTTTCTATTGGGAAGTCTCGGACTGCTCTTATTATCAATATTATTTTGTGTTCTTTGTTACTTGTGTATCAGGAGTAAGAAACATGGTATAGTATATATTTTCACATCGAATACGATCTATATTTATCTACAACATTTAGAGACCATTCCAAACAAGATAATAGACACAACGGATCTAAATTCGAAACGCGTTAGAATCAATGTTAACGTTAAACCATTCGTCTCCAATGTAACGTTGTTGAATAACGATCCATTATCAAGCAATAATCAGAATCAGAGTTTTTCTGCACATAATCGAGAGTGTCCATTATACAAATTTGACTTATCTCAAAATAGAAGTCAAATTTGGTCAATACAATTTAATGAATATGATCATCAAGTTAGTATAAAATTTCTTATCTTTTGTAAATTTACATCTTAATTTATTTGTCTATGATTTTTTTATCTTTAGTTCATACGTTACCACAATTCAATCTGTTCTCAGTTTAACAAAAGTAGAAGCCAAATGACATCCAGGAGTATTGTATCATATTCATCCGAAAATAATTCTACACAAATATCGTTGAGTAAATCGATCACCGATTCGCTTGATGATGAAACATTTCATTCCATTAATATTTCTTCTCTACCAGATGAGTCTCGTCAAAACATATTGAACACGAACTAGAACGATATATCTTAGATACAGTAAAAGAAAGCATTTATAATTCATAATCATAAAAGCATTTTTCACGTAATTTTTTTCCCATTTCATGTTTGATAATGCATTCTCTCAAGAAACATGTGATTATATAATTAACATAAACTAATGATGCATTCATTACATGATCATAAGAAACATTTTGGTTGATATAATTTAAAAGACTATATAAACGTTAGCTATTATCTTTTTTGTTCTCCGATACTTTCCTCTATCATATGAACTTAAAAAACAGTGTGTTGAGTGAAAAAAGTAAAATTCTAAATCAATGAAAGTATAAATTTAATTTGAAATATGAACACTATATAGAAATATGCATATCATTATCAACAATAAAAAAAAAAAGAAAAACTAAAATTAGTTTTAGCCAAAATGACTAAAACAGCAATTCCATGTGGTTCACAAATCAAACAAATGTTAGAGAAATATACAAAACTAATATAGCAAAATTAGCACCCAATCTTTATAACAAAAACAAACATCAAACACTCGCATACTAAAAATCAGAATAGGAACTTGTTAACAGTTTTTTCAAACACCATAAAAAAAAAAACAATAAGACATACAAAATGATAAATCAACAATTCAAACTTGTTGTTGGGATTTGGCCCTGGAAATGGAAAAAATTTTTTTGATTCTGACGTTTTTATCACAAAATGCTATTTTTTTATATACAAAAAAAATATGCTAAGTTCCGCTAGTATCATAGTTTCATGCATGTAGGCAGATACTTTTCGAATGGTTTATATTAATAACACAAATAAATCGAGTGTGACTAGCGTGCTTGATTTAAAACAATCATAGACATACCGGTAATGAATAAATGAATGATTGAAGTCGGTTAGACATGTACATAGAGGTTGATTCATGCCTATGTATTTGATTTTTTTCAAAATTCTTTATGCTAATAGAGTCAAAGAACTGTTCATATTTTCGCCAAACTGTTCATCTCATGAATTTCATTGGTAATATGAGTCGTATACTTTTGCTTTTTTCCATCTTTATCTTTAACAGCTAAATCGAGTGGTTCCGATGAATCATTATCATTAATAACATTTAAGTAACATGGTTCATCAACAACTGTATGCTGTTTCTCAATTGATAATGATTGTTTACGTTTGAGCGCCGTTATAATTCCATGGTCTGATGGTATATTAATTGACACTTTTGGGGTGATGACGCTATAATCATTATTGTCATGATCGTAAGAACCATGTTTTGTACTTGATGTGGTACTGATATTTGAATTATATTTTTCAGTATTTCCATTATGACCATGGACTGCCGTCGAAGATGATGAAATAATATTGTTAACTTGTGATGAAAATTGTGAAAGATTATTTCGTTGATAATAGCGTGCAAATAATAATGGATTCAATGCAGAGGCATAGAATTGAGGATAAAATAATTGTAAAATATTGGATTGAGTGGACGAAGATGATGATGGTAGTGGCAATGAAGAATCCGATAACACTCGGCTGTTTCCATTATGATGATCAGAATCTTGAATACATTCGTCTGATCTTGGTCGATGTGGTGATGATCCATCATCACTTTCTAAGTAACAAACATCAAAACAATTTACTATATGGTATAATCTATAATGAACATCATTAACTAACCTGAACCGTATTTGGTTTCTTGTTGAGTGGAGTTTTTTGTCTTTTTTGCCACATTCCAGGTCGGATTAGTACCGCCATTGCGTTTCATACTTTTTCGTATTTCGTCTGGTGTTCGCATAAATCTGTTTAAGAAAGAGAGGGAGGAATGAGTGCATATGAATGTGCATTTTAATGCAAATGTCTACATTACCTATACAAGAGACGCTTGGATTGTTCTTTCTGAATGATATTGTTGCTATAATAGTATCTCATACCACGACTTAATTTCTCATATGTCATACTTAAACGATTCTTTTGTAAACCTGAAATAATTAAACGTTATGATGAAATCTAAAAATAGTTCACTATCGTAGAGACGAACCCCACAATGCTGCTAATTTGTCTGCTTGAATAATACGAAAGATCATTTTATCTCGATTTTCCCATCGTATAATTGACTCATAAACCGGATCTTCTAACAGAATATATAAGAACTCCCATAATATTCGACAATCTAAAAGAAAAACGAGAATGCAAGAAATTTAAAATAACTGCTGTATTGTATATAACTTGTACTTTTTGCTGACACTGGTTTGTAGAGGATATCACCACGAAAATCAATTTTATCATGATAATACCGAATGTGTCTTGTTTTATCACTATAAGGTTTTGTTGTATCACCAATCGTATCACCCATCGATTCAACAGTCTCCGTTCCATTAGGAGATTCAGACAATGTAGAATTAGATTTTATCTGGTTAAAACCTGATGTTGTTGTTGATGGTGATGATGGAAGAGATGGTGAGGAAGATGAAACTTTAAGCAGATTGTCATGACTACAGTCTAATGGTGATTTTTCAACGTCTAGTTCTTCTTCATCTTCGCTTTTAATATGAATATTATCCTTCGTTTGACTAGAAATATCATCCGTTTGTTCACTTTTAATAAAACATGTTACGGTGTTAGTGGGCGAAATTGTCTTAGATTCATGTCGTATTACTGTTCTTGTTGGTGAAATACGGTTTTTTTCAATTAATTTGTGAAGATCGTCATTACCAGTACCATACAGATTTGAGTTATTTATTTCTAAAAAAGTAATAAAACACATAGTAGGAATAAATAAAACAAACTGTTGATTTCTACTACCTTTGTATCGCTGTGTTTTACTGGAAGAATGTTTCTGATTTATAAAATCTTTGTAACGTAAATTTGCACCTTGGTTTTGATCATGATCTGTTGGTAAGTCTGATGATAAATTTTTCTGAAGGAATTGCAATTCGTTGACTGGTGGAGGAGTTAAAGGAGTGCTATTATGTGAAGGCGGTGGTGCTCTTGGACGTGACGCCGTACAATTTAATAGTGTCAATTGAACAGGTGTAATAGATGGTTGATGAAGTGTGGGTGATGAATGTTGAGAAGAATACGTAGATGAAGATGAACCGGGTCGAAATAAACTATTGTGATGCAATGATTCGTTGTTATTGGATAGAACTGATGAAGCAGACGATCGGGGCAAAAGAAAATTAAATGCCGGATGTGTGCTCAAATGACCATTTGTTAGATGCTGATTTGTGGAAGGAAATGTAGTTGTATTAGGTGTTGTCGAAGGAATATTTACACCTAGACGACGATTTGGATGCAGAGGATGATAACTATTCCAAAACTGATATTGAAAAGCTAAATGAATATTTTATTTTTGTAGGTGATACGAGAATAATCCTATCTCACATAACTCAGGACGATAGAGTAGATGATAGAGTACCAGTGGCGGTGCTAAGAAGTGGGCTGGTGGGATGCGTTTAGGTCACCATAACCCTTTGCACTTGCATCACACCAATTCTGAAAATTCTGCTGTGATGTCTAGCCACTAAAAATATCCTGCGCACTGCCACTAGGTATGTTACGAGACCGAGATACCCGTTTTCTCGTGTCTCGTACCCGGGTATAGTCTCGTAGTCTCGTGTCTCGTACCCGGGTATGGTCTCGTGTCTCCTAACGAGACACGAGACCATACCCGGGTACGAGACACGAGACTACGAGACTATACCCGGGTACGAGAGCGAGTATACGAGAACCCCGGTCTCGCTCTCGGTCTCGTTACATACCTAGCTGCCACTACTGCGTACAATGCTTAGTGATACCAAAATGAACAAGTTCTTTTTTTATATCAGGCTCTTTAGAATAAATAAAATTACATGTGAACTCTGGACAATAGGCGCATATGCTGCAATTACCTTGACAGCTAAGAGATTTGATAATAGCAATGTGTTGTTGTAACGCTTTATGAAGAACATCTCCACATCGAGGAGATCGTTGTTTAAAACTTTCTTCATTAAGAAGTAGTAAAGCTTTGCCTAAATAACAAAATTTAAAATTTGACTATACAAGGATATATTGAAATAATGCGTTTATCAGTTACCATTCATTTCATAATCGTTTATATTAACATCACCAAGGGCGTACTCTTCAACACACCATTGAATCCATTTTAATACATCTTGTTTTGACCAAGATTCAATCGGATGGACTAAAAGTGACGACATCATAACTTATCTTCGACTTCAAAATTAAGTGTAAAGTCGCGCTTCAACCTTTTTTCAGTCGTTCGTTTTTATTTTCTCTGAGAAAAACAGCTAGATATCTATATACTGTTCACGTTCCTTTGTTTTTCTCTTCTCTTTTGTTTATGTCCGCATGCGCATGAGACAAACAAAAGCAATCTTCTTTTTCTCGTACACACTTTTCCTTGAAGTTGTTGAAGCACGTGTATCGATAGACATATGAGTATAATTTAATTATAAAGAATAAAGTAGAAATCAAGATAATCTTTATCGTATGTTTATCACTTGGTTCGAAACAATTTTCTTATCAAATATTTTAGTTCTCTTTAACAAAATTTCTTCACTCTAATCTGTTAAGACATGTTTTACTAAGACACGTTGTTTCAAGTTTCAGAACTGAATTATAGTTACAGTAGAATAAGTAGATGAGGGATAATAATGTAGTTTTTGCCCGAACTTTTGTCATAATGATAATTATCAGAGTCAATGTACATACGAAGATCTGTTGGCAAACTCATAATAATATTTTTTAATGCTTTTTCGTCGTTGCCACGGTTGTTGCTGTTTAAATGATTTGTGGTAAGATTAGAAAACGGGCCGTTTGCTACCATGCTAAAACCAATAACAGAAAACATATGAGACCTATAAATGAATGGCTATCAACGATCTATACTACGGTGAATGAGAATAGTAAAAAGTATTTTACGCACATGAAAGAATAATAATTGAAATATAAATTTTTGAATAAAATATCATTCTGTCAGTAAATTACAATACAATTAAAAAAGTATATTCTTGAAAATATTAAGAATTTTTTATAATCTTTAATTAAATCATGGTATGGTTCGTGTCTGAAGGAGTTTAATAGATATCTTCTTTGTCCTACTCACTATTGGAAAATCTACTATGTGTTGGTGATCATTTTAAAATGAAAGAGTATTATAATGGTGTATATAAATAATATAATATAATTTAATGATGATTTGTATGAAAGGGGAAAAGGAAGAATATTCTAAGGTATGTATCGTTTCACATTACTCATGTATGTTTTTCATCTTGTCATTGTTTATCTCTCCTAGTATGAAGGAGGTTATAATCATACAAACATATATATATATATATATTTTATATATATTTCTAATATTATAATCATATAATCGCACTTATTATATTGTTCGAGTTTCCTGTCTCTTTTCAAACAAAAAACGCAAAAAAATCAAACAAAAAAATCGTTATCATTTTATAAAAAAAAAAAACGAAAGACAATCACTGAAAAGTATTTTTCCTTTCAAGATAGCCCGTGCTATAAATCCATAGCTTTCTTACGCTTTAGAAGGTTTCTAGGTGAAGAGAAGAGAAGGAAACTGTATTTCTCATTTACCATGTGGTCGGATTCTTTTATGTCAACCTTCTGACCTCAGTAAGATTATCACTTTTTTTTCTATATTCTACAATGTAACTGCGTAATAGAGCAATTTTTAACAGTATACCCCACTATCACGTAAACACATGGGGCGTATTGTCATTTTCTGAGGAAATAACAAATGTTCACCTTGCGATTATCGATTTATAGTGTGCTAAACATTCTTTTAACTTTAACATGCCTTGTCTTAGTTTTATCAATTTCTTTAGAGCCGATTTTTTTATGATTAATAATAATAACCAAAATTTTTTATCATTACCTTTATAGAGGTCTTCTTGACTTTTGAATGCGTAAATACCTATAATTTCTTTCTGACCAAGTTTAATGTCTGTCCGTTGAATATAGGAAGAATAAGGTTTAAACTTACATTTACAGCACTTAATCGTATCACAATTCGTATGATACTTAATTTTAAAGGAATAAACACCTTTCTTGAGACTAAAGGATAATCTAGTATAAGACACAAGAAAAGTTCCTTTTCTTTCTGATTCTGTGTGTAATATTACATTAAAATCGAAAAAAAAAGTAGTTGAATATCACACATAGTTGTTCTATGTCATTAATCAAAACTGTATGCGGTATACACTTCATCAAGTCAGTCACACTTGATAACTGAAAATTAATTTTGAATAGATATCAAAGATGAAACCAGCGCATAGATAAGTGTATCTTTCCTTTTCCTTTACTGTAGTTTCTGCTTTCAGGGCCCATATCACATCGATATATATATATATATACAAACTGTAAAGTTAAAAAGATTTGAATATTTTCTGACAGTGAGGGAAACAAAACAGAACAAAACAGAAAAGAAAAATGGAACAAAAGAGAATAGCTGCTTTTGTTTCTCGATTACAAAGGAAAGAAGTTTCAATTCTGAAATAAACTTCGCACGATTAAAAGGAGAAAAAAAACTACGTAGAACAACAGACAGTAACAAGTTTCAACATTATTGTTAACATTGACTGACCGTGTGAATAGGAAAATGTATAAATACGTGATTAATGAGTTTATTCATCATTGCGAAATAAACTAAGACTTGAAACTTATATACGTCATCATAATATTCAAATTAAAAATATATAAGAGAAAATAAAAAAACACCTGAAGAGGTTTTAAATTTGGGACTCTTCCAAAGTGTCATATGTCCGGTCTATCAAAGATGTAAAATTATTAGTAGTAGAATAATTCAAATTTCGAAGTTTTATCTAGTTATGACGAGAAATTTATTTCAAATTTTATCAAGAAATAATCCCCATGCCGTTCTATCGAACGCTAATTTCACTTAACCTTTTCTCAGCATTGAATTCTTTCTAACAAAAAATAAAATTTTAATTTTATCGGAGAAACATTTGTACCTGCATTCTCCTTACAATATGAATTAATAATCAGTATGAAAATGAAAAGCATTTTTCCGATCTAACACTTTTTAAATATTTCAAACCCAAACGTTCTAATTATTTCTAGATAATAAGAGACTATTTCAACCGATCATTTTTATCTCTAGTCTCTAAACAATTTTCCCATATATCCTATAGATCTTAAAATAATTCAATTTTTTATTCGAAGTTCAACTTTAATACTTTATATAAATCTTTAGAAGACTTCTGCAAAGTTTCGTGTATAATACGTCTGACGTTGATGTACTTCTGACAATAAATGGGGACAAGGTATTCTAATGTCCGTGAAAATAAGTCGTAAAAAAATGATCATTTTTCAAATTTTTGATCTTAAAAAAGTTGTGAATTTTATTACACAAGGTCCAAAGTATTTTTTGACAGACAGTTAACACAGAATTAAATTTATATATCGTGTATTGAATGGATGAAAAAAGTTAGGTCATTTTGACTCTATCATGAATAAAATTTTTAAATGACTATGCGTGCTTTCAAAATTTATTGGCTGTCATTCATAGTTCAATATTAACTACTTACAGCATTTTTGAATTATTGTTCTATATCGGTTAAATTTGTTAATATATGATATGACTGAGCGTTTATTTTTCAAATGTACGTTATTTCTTTCTCTTCATTGAACGAATTTCAATGTCGTTTATTTCTCTCTCTCTCTCTCTCTCTCTCGCATGTATGCAATATTAGCTCATCAGGTTCAACGGGGTTTTGGATAAGAGAAAAAGAGGAGAGAGAGAGAAAAGAAAATGAGAGATTTAACAATCGACTTTGATTTTATTGTCTTTTTTTCATCATAAAGATGTATGTATATGTAAAATTTCACATTGAAATATCCCGTTGTGTGTATTGAACGAACTTTTCCTTTCATTTCACATCCATACCATTTTTTCATTCTTTTTTTTGTTCTGTCTTTTGCACCATTATCATCTCTTCAATAATCTTTCTTTCTCTTTCTCTTTCTATTTTTTTATATTTTGCAGAAGCACTTAAAAGAATTTTAATTTTAGTTGCTTGATTTTTGAGCGTATAGACTATGGATCAAAAAACAGAACAGAGAGAGAGAGATTTTGTCATAGCCTTGTCGCATCTATTTCCTTTCTTTGCTTCCTTTGCGTCTGTGTCTGTCTGTACAGGAAGGTAAAAATTGTATGAACAATTTTTTTTCTTCTCTGTATTTCATTGAACGATTTATTATTATTATAATCGTTGTATGTTAAACTATAAACATAAAAAAAAAAAAAAAAATTATCGGTGACCTCAATATGTTTAATTTCAATAAGGGTGACCGGGAAATTTCGTTTCTCGTTTTTTCGTATAACAATAAAACACTATATCGAATTCGATTTCTACAAGAAGAAAGAGGACAACGACAAAAATAATTAAACTTTTAAAACAAAGAGTACCAATGGTACCGTTATTATTTTCGATATAGAGATGTTATATATGTTTATATTGAAATTCTAGTCTCACAATAATAGACATCATATATCACACTGTCAAGAATTATATGAATCTTTTTTTTATCGATCAATTGCTAAAATTCTAGCCTTCGAATTTGTAAGACTTATACATCAAAACTTCAAACATTAGGACAATAAAGAAAAACACCTGAATTCTAACATTTTAACGCAAATAATTTTATTAGAATACTAAACATAATTGTGGTTTCTAAAAGGATAAGTTTCTTCTCTACTTGTTGGTGATTTTTGGATATCTTGTCATTAGCACTTATATTTATCTTAAATTAATTTTTTCGTCAAAGACATTCAATAATGATTGAACACGATAATGTATATAGTTTTACATTCAATTTGAGAGTTAGACGCATAAGTTACAGAGTGGCTGTATTTTGTCAATGATTTTAGTTTTAATTAATTCGAATACAACAAAAGTTCTGGATAAATATGCTATTTAATAGTGTATTTTTTCTTCAACAAATGTTACTCTGTTATTGTATAATTTGTTATTCTTCTTTTATCAACTTGTAATGTATTAGTTGATCGTTACCATTGGTTTTAAATGATAATCATTTGTCGTAGAAGCAATGAATAATGAAACATTTACATTTCATAAAAAGATTCTAATATGTATGCCATGCCATCATTTCCTTCAAATATTATATATTCACATAATATTTACTGTGTTATGCAATCAACGTCTGAGTGAGAGATAGAATAAGCTACGCACTTTTGGAGAAATGAGTGATCAGAGTGGTAAGGTGCTCATTCGTTTACTCAACGTTCTTACAGCATTCCTCTACTTATATTTACCTATTATTTTTCGATCTGTATCCACGAGAAACCATAATGTTCCTTACTTATATCTGCCATCTCAAGGTAATAGATCCACTTCGCCGGTCACGGTGCATGGCAACATACATACATAGATAAATTCTCTTATCTTTCTTTTATTGTGACGGTCGTCTATACGTACATTCTAATTAGTAACTGAACAATGTATGAAACCCTTCCTTTCTATTTGAGCAAATAAACAGGTGTCTCAACACACATGATGAACTTTGTTGTAGGTAAAGCTGAAACAAACATAAGACAATTGTCGAATCAATATCATTACATTTATCTATGTATGTACTGATCGACAAGATTAACTGCCATACAGTAATGAGCAATAAAAATAATCAAGAACTACTAAACTCTTATATAGGGTAAAGGTTTGTATTTATGTCTTTTTAAAACGTTCCATAATTGATGGAATTAGATTAATCCGAAGCATGTCTGTTACATCTTTCTTTTTATCAAATATTCGTATCTCTGTTCTACTATTCTCAAAAGAACAATGAGCTAGTTTTACCATGTCTTTAGTGACTACTGTTAGTGTTGATTACTTTAAAACACAAATTAATCTATTGACATAAAATCTCGTTTATACAGTTTTCAATTTCAATGCCTTGCCGCATATTTAACAATTTTAAAGTTTAGCGTAACCTTCGTCGGTATTCAACCGATAAGAGGTAGTGTCTGTAGAATAGAAAAAGAAAGAACGGACGAAAGAACTATTGTTTTACCGATCATTAACCTAGATGTGCCAACAGAATAAAAAAAAAACAGTACTATTAAAGATACATATGATTTTGAAAAACATACTTATTTTCACATAAACACACACCTATGTACTCATCAACAATGAGAGAAAGAAAATATTCTTTTTTTTCTTTCCTTCTTGTTCAATATCCTAAATTCGAACGAAAATTTGTCTGTCTATACATTAAAGTGTAAATCTTTCCTTTTTCCTCGTATATCCTTCAACTCATTTTTCGCATCAATTCCGCTCATTTCTCTTTTGGTATTGTTCTTTAAATTTTTTCAAAGAATTTTTTTGTCTTTTGATAATAAAAAGATTTGATATACATCTATATATATATATGCATACATACGCGTTGCCTACTTCTTTCTGTTTTATATGTGCGTGTTAAATTTTGAACAAACTGTATTGTCGCCATGTTAACGTAAAAGACGAAACTAAATAGGTCAAGTGAAAAAATAAAGTTTTCGACAACAAAACAATTATGTATAAATGAGAGCATAAGTAAATGCAATGTATAAGTTCACTAAAGAGTACGATATTGATCAATATGTTTGGGCAGCAGTAAGAAGATGAGACACGTAGAAACGATACAGCTTTACTTAAAAGGTACAAATTTATCAGCCGAGACGTCCTAGATATCTGCTTTGAGACCACATTTGACATCTACGATTAATATCTTTTCGATGGTATCGAGTAGATAGTCTGGAAGGATTAATCTAAGACGG